CCAAATTTAAATACTCACACACTGTTCTTTTTTATGTATAAATAACAGCTTCACTGAAAAAAAGAATTATAGCTGCATTTTGCTTCAAATTCCACTTTCAATACAAATACTTGGACTGAATAAATTAAATATGAAATGGAATGACCAAAGGACAAAAACATCCTTGGCTAGCTCCGAATAGTTCAATCAATCATTAATTTTTTTTAAAAAAGGAATGAATTAACACTTTTAAAAAACAGGTTAATGGAATTAAAAATTTGTCTTCCTGTTTTATGTTGCCCTCTCTCCTCTACTCCACTTGCCAGAAGAATTTCAAATGCAATTCCTCTGCAGGTTACAAATCTAAGAGACTAATGGGTGGTTACCGTTCTTGGTGCTGGGCTGATTCTATTCAGTCTATATCTAGAAAAATATTTTTGTTGTTGTTGCTTTTGCATAATTTCCTGACATTAAAGAAAAGTTAAAAAGCAGGTGACTTGGTAACTAGAAGAAATAAGCAAGAGGAGTTGATTCCTGCAGCACTTTCACAAGCACTATTTTCTCTTTTCAAGATTCAAAATCAAGTAAAAATGTTCCTCTGCATTTCTAATGGAAAGATGAGCGATAACTTTGGAAATTTATGCCAAGCCAAATGAACTCATCACTGTGTTATGAAACAGTTTAACGCACTTTGATCAATACATTAGCTCTGCAAACACAAACACGCTACAGGAAGATCCCAACGTGAGCAAACCTGACTTGGCCTTTGCTGATAGGTCCTAAGGCGTAAAAGATGTCAAAGCAATAGGGTGTCTGAAGAAAAGCCAAATACTTTTAGTGCCCTCCAGAAACAGCACTCTCGACTTTTCCATACGTATGTATAAATCCCCTAAATGCACAGTCACTTTACAAATTTATTCTTACTCTTTTATGAAATTAGTTAAAAATTAATGAACAAGAAATTAAAGAGAAGTTGCTGTAATAAAGTTAGAATATTCTAACTGAAAAACAATTACAATGAAACTACTTACTCTCCCATAGAATTATAAATGTTTTTCAAGGGATATTTCATAATATGATTTTTTAAACAGTGTCTTCTTCTTCTTACTCTTGAGACTTAAAAACTGTGGGTTTATCCTACATTAAAAATACATTTATTAGAGTAAGAGCTTTACTTCCTCAGAAAAAGAACTCTATGATTTAAAGTAACACACCGAATGCTTAGATTTTTCTTCAAACAGATTTACATGCTTCATCCTCCAACTACGAGGATTAGTTTTCAATAATATGTAATTGACAGAAAATTGTGTTGAAATCATCACATTTACTAATTCTGGGAATTTAACCAGTCAGATTTCTGAGAAATGCAGTTCTCTGTACAGAACTGGAAAAACACCAACAGTTTGTGAGTGTGTTCACTGCTTTTCCACTGTTTTCACTTCCTCTCGAAATTATATTCCCATTTCACTGAAATGAAAGCAACCAGCTTAATTCTCAACCTGGGAGAAGAATCATTTTTATTTTTAAGGAAAAAAGTTACCTTTCTGCTTTTAGATATTTAATCAAACAAATGCTTAACTCCAAAAGACAACTTTAGAGCTTTCATTAAGAAAAATCCCCTCTGTAGCAACTGGCTCAAACTCGACAAACTTGAACTGTGCAGATGTTGAAGCGCGCCTTGGTTCCACTGGGGGAGAGAGGAGTATGAGACATTCCACAGCTGCCTACGCCAGTCGCCTTCCCAGGGGCACAGCTGCGGGTCTATCAAGCTCAATCACTTTGTATAGCAACAGGGATCCCAGGCAGGGGCCAAGGAATCCCAGAGCAGCTTAGATTTCTTCTAGTATCACAGCAAGGAATAAGACTACTTAAAGAGTAACCAGTTACTTCCAACAACCATATGGCCCCGGGCCAAAAAAAGGATGAAGAAGAACATCTGTAGTGAGGGAAAATATAAGATGTTTCATATTTTTAAGATTTCAAGCTATTTACAGGAGATTTTCTTTGGGTCTTTGTTATAAAAATGACTATGAATATTTGATCTTTATTCATCACTGATATTTTATTTGGGAGGGTGAGGAGAGAATGATCAAGTTGAAGAAACACAGAATTTAATTAACAGTTAATTCAACAACTGTAATGTAACTCATTCATTGAAGAGTTTTAAAGAAATGAAATGTGTAAGACGCTAATATGTAAAGGCATTATCCTTTCCCATTTTACATCAGTGTACATTCTCACAAGCTCTTAAGAACATTTTAAAACTAACATAATTGTATTAATAATATGATGTGGCTAAAAGCAAGTAGTCAAGAGAATATTCTTCCTTACTTGAGGATAACTGATACTATAGCATATGCCATTTCCTTGGGATAAATCAGAAAGGAAGGAGGTATAAACATATATGTGTAGCTCATTAAAATAAAAAATATATAAAAATCACTATTACCCACGAATTATGTCTTTATTCTAATCATTATCTTCTAGAGTAGTAAAAGACAATATGTAGTCACAGATTTTGAGCAGTTTTTATACTATCTTCAATGTATAATGCCATTAAAATCATTAATTCTTACTTATTCAGAAAATTATTATTATATCTCACATAAGCACTTGTAAGAATTTACCAGATACAATAACGAAAACAACAGTGATGTATAATTTATTGTGGACTTGCTATCATTTGAGCATGGGACTAAGAGCTTTAGATGCATTAGCTCATTCCTTTCCCCACCATGATATTATTCCCATTTTACAGATGAAGAACTTGACTTTTAAAGCCACTGAGCTCCCTGGCTGGTGTGGCTCAGTGGATTGAGTGCCGGCTTGTGAACCAAAGTGTTGTAGATAGCATTCCCAGTGAGGGCACATGCCTGGGTTGTAGGCCAGATCCCCAGTAGGGGGAGTGTGAGAGGCAACCACACACTGATGTTTCTCTCTGTCTCTTTCTCTTTCCCTTCTCCTCTTTCTAAAAATAAATAAATAAAACCTTTAAGAAAAATTAAAGTCACTGAGCTAGATGGTACAGCCAGAATTTCAACTTTTTGATTCTAAAGTCCATGATTTAGTTATTTGTTGTAGACCACTCTGCCTGGTTCTAGGAATTGTAACTCTACTCCTTGTGGCTAAGGGCGAGGGATGATGACCTTTGGAATTCAAGCCCCAGGAGACAAAGCTTGTCTCTGGAAGCAAACACTGCCTCAGTTTCTTCTCCCTGCTCCCAAACCTTGGTTTGAAGTCAATGATGGGTAGGACCCCTCACAGTGGGGGGTAACCTAAGCCAGACTTGATCACTTGGGAGGCCTTCATGGAAGGACTGGGGGGGGCGGCCTGTGACAGGGGAGCAACCCCCCGCCTTTGACAAAGCCTGAGTCCCCATGTCCTCTGGGAGAAGCACTTCCTGGCTCTAATCCCCTTAAGCCTGAATACCTGTTGGGGAGAGGTACAGCTCCTTGCCTTGCCAGAGCATGTCCTGGGGGAAAATCTGGCATCATAAAGACTTCCTGATAAATCTGTGAAATCTGCTCTGCTAAGAGTACTTTCATTCATATGTTAAAGGTTCAAGCAGGAAACCCTAAAACTCTGCTCCTGACAGACTGACTCATACTAAGCCCTCAGATTTCTTTGAAATGTTAGCTACTGTTTGATCCTTGCTGCCCTGTATTCCTGTGTATTACAACCCAATAAAAGCCCCTGGAGGAGGAAGCTCAACGCCTTTTTCCCCTGAGAAACTGGCCACTGGTCACAGCCTTTTTCCTCTGGGAAAATGGCCATTTCTCCTCCCCAAGCAGATCACATCATATCTCAGTCATGATTACTCTCATCTGTGGTGGTCGGGGGACTTGCAAGGAAAGTCACCCCGACAGTTATTATGTTAGACTGACTTCATTGAAAATGATATTTGCACATTAATTTATAACACTTTACATATTCTTGAAATCAATTTTAAGGTTTATATTATGTCATTAAATTGTTTTATTCAGAGAAAAGTAGCCCCTCTAGATGTTAGTTAAATCTCACTTATCCTGCATATAATCCTTTTTATTCTCTAAGGACTGATTTTTTAACAGCCAGAAAAAGGCTCATTATAATCTAGAGTAATGCGATAATTCCTCTAATGTTTTCATATTCTAACTATCCTAAGTTCTGATGCCTATCTTTCTATTTTAGGTGGGCCCTTGAAACTACAAGTGAAATAAGCTAATAAACAATTAATTTTATGTTACATAACAGATACTGAAGTACACAAACACTACACTATGCTTCAAAATGTAGGATAAAAAAAACACTCATATCAATACAATTTCAAGTAAGAAAAATGCAAGCCGTAAAAGGCTTTTGTTTATAGCTCAACAATACTCCTCCAAGACAATGCCATACATACAGGAAGGAGGAATAAGAGGCAGAAGTTGTTGACATATGGGGTGTGCACAGAACTTCTGGTTAATGGAAGTTCCAAGATGGATAAATAAAAAATGATGTGTGAGTTCGTGGAAAAAACTGTAAGGCAAGTCAATTTTTTAATTAAAAAATTATGTAGCATAAACAATGCTAATGAGCCAAAAGTCCCGTGAGATTAGGACTGTATCTGCTTCATTTTAACATTCCACTCACTTTTCATACGTGTGCATCCACACGAAATACCTCAGGCAGAACCTTTTTCGTAAAATAGAATTTTGAGGATTTTCTTTGTCCTTGTTGTTAATAGCTCATGATTTACTACTTTAAAAAATACTTTATTTATTTATTTTTAAAGAGAGGGGAAGGAAGGGGAAAAAGAGGGAGAGAAACATCAATGTGTGGTTGCTCCTTATGTGCCCCCAACTGGGGACCTGGCCCACACCCAGGCATGGGCCCGGACTGGGAATCCAACCAGGCAACCCTTTGATTCACAGGCCTGCGCTCAATCCACTGAGCTACACCAGCCGGGGCTCATCATTTACTACTTAAGTTGTCAATTTGATGACATTAAAAATTAGCAAGTCCCCAAACCCTTAAATGAATCACCGGATAATAAATACCTGGAAGTTCTTCATAAATTTCATCATCAATTGGCTGAGTGCTGGCTGGTGAGCTGCTGGTTGGTAGAGGATGGTCAACATCATCATATAATTCTTCTCTTTCATCCTCCTCCTCAGGAATAATATCAGATCCCATATCTACAAAACACATTTCAGGAAGCAAATTTGTAAAAGACACAAGAGATTTGCAAAACCCTATTTTCTAAATTCAGGCAGCCCTACCAAGTCACGGTATTATTATATGCTGTATCCTTAACCTAAAACATTTTTAAAAATTATTGTTGCATAAATATGTGAATTGCAAAGTTGCCCACTGGAACTTATAGAATACTTTTATACATCTGAGTTCAGTGGTCTATACTGATACCACTTATACTCCCTTCCCTGGTCATTCACACAGAAATTCAGTAAGCTTTTGATATATGAAAATCCAAATCATTCAGTTATTCATCATTTAAAGACTGCAATAACTTGTTCAACTGATTGCTCTTACCTTGTAATACAAATTTCAGCTGTTGTACCCATTCTTCGGCATCTTTGGGAGAAGCTGCTGTGAACTAATAAGAAACCAAACAATAACAAGAAAAATCACCATGGTAGAAATGAAAGGTATGTCGCATTCTTATCATTTCTTTAAAACCATTAGTAATTCTTCTCATGTCTAGTACTACTTTTCTTGCAAGGATGCTTCTTATAATGTACAGTTAATTTTGACAAATTTACGTAATTGAAGCAGAGGATGATGGATTTGAAACTCTGATCAGCAGCTGGCAGCTGTGCAGGAAAAGAAGCTGCTTCTCTTCATCAATGTCAGAGACAGGACTGATGAACAAAATTTGCCCTTGACAATTAGAAGACACCCATGAATTTCTTTAGACTGCTGGGTACAGTTTTCTTAAAAATGTTCTTGTCAGATTCCAACACACTATCTGACAACTTAATTAACTGGCTTTCAACTGCAATCTCAGATATTTAAAACTTATTAAACATACATTCCATATTGATGCTCTCTGATAGCTCTTAAATTGCAGAGCTGATACATGCCTTCTACCTTCATTTTCTCCCACAAACCTAAGCACTGCAATATGCATTAACACTCTGATATTTTTCTTTTGATAATTTTACTCTTTCCACTGTGTAATTCTTTTAAGAAATCACACAGTTCTATTAAAACAGACATAAAATGAAACATGTGAAGTAACTGATAAATCACATACTCTCTTGTTCTCTTTCAAGAAGGTATCACTTGAACTAATCTGAATTTTTAAAAAATGTATTACCTCTTATATAAATGTTCAGTGTATAAAAACCAGTATTTTTTATTATTAACATGCTAGGGAGAGTTGTTTTAACAAAATGTTAATGTCTTTATAAATGAAATCGGAACATTTTATCAACTTAATTTCAAAACAACATAAAAACTCAAACCTGATAGACACGTTTATCAGGAGCGGAGATTTCAAAACAGCAATCCTTCTTTGCATCCTTCCTGAGAGTGCTGTTCATCCTGACGTTGTAGCCATCAATCGCAAATTCGCCTTTCTGCTGCTTGTCTGTTGAAGACAGAATGAAAGTCAGAATTTCACTTATTATTGTACAAATGCCCAGTCAATTATCTTTTATTTATATTTTCTTTGTCAATTCTCTAAAAGAGTAGTTTTTGGCCATATTGTTTTCATAATATGTTTAAGTAATGTTTCTAGATATCACTTTTAATTCTAAAAGTACAGAAATATTTGGGATGGTTGGGTTTTAAAAGGACATACGAGGGAACCAGAAGAGGTCGGCAGACAGTGGTCTTATTCAGGAGGAGGAAGGAAAATAAGACACTTTCATGTAGAAAAAAAATTCAAGACCTGGAACTCAAAACTTGCTAGACAAACCCACTACAAACCTGCGATTCTTTCAGGCTTAGTGAGTCCATGGAAAAACCTAACTAGATGAAAACCCGCGGTGCTGTATTTTCCGCTCTCTCTTCTCATCACCACACTTCCAGACCTACCCCCGCCCAAAAGCCCATAAATGCAACCTGTCTTTTAAATTGGTATGCATTGATCTAAATTTAAGAAGCAAGGCAGAACAAAATAAAATTAATTACTAAAAGATGTGAGGGGAAAACAAAATATTTGGATGGAGAGGAGTGGTAAAGCAACTACAAAAGCATGAATCACCAAAACCAAATCAAAAAAAGGTTTCTTAACAACAAGTCAGTGAACAATTAAACCAGTAAAACACGTGTGAAGTGTCCAAAGAAAAAGGTGAGTTGAGCTTTAGTCAGACAGTAAAGAAATATAAAGCAGGAATACAACAAAGGATTCGATACTCCGAAAAGGAAATATAATTTGCTTTTCTATTCACACAGTTATGCCATTTTGACAGAAAAGTTGTACAACTATAGTTTTATGTCATAGATTAATACACAATATTAAAGTCATATGGACACCTCTCTTTTTTATCAAACTTGGCGGAAATATAGAAATGCTTCCATATCATGGACTAATGGGCTCCCTCAGCTCAATGCACCAAGGAATATTTATCTCCTTTTCTTAAATATACTAATTCAATGCCTGAAATAACATGTACTTTAAAATACATGGAGAAAAGTGGCTCTCCTGCTTCAAAAGGGCTCTACCCACATGGCCACCTACTCTAAGCCCATGCTTTCTCCCTCAGATTCTCAGCAATGTAACAGGAGTGGGGATGGAAATGCATTAGGATTGGGCATTTGTATCTGGAGATATAAAATCGGCACTACAAAGACTGAGTTGGGAAGAGCTGTGAGGAATGGGATATCTTCCCATGCTAGGTTAACTAGGAATAAGACAACCATCAGGGCAGCCAAATTAGGTGATCCCTCCTTAGACTAACAGATCCAATTTAGACAAAAATGTCCGAGTACAGGCTATGGGACGAGCTATCAGATCCTCTGTTAGCGTCTAATAGGAGGATGGAAGTAACCTCTAGTCAGATGGACCAGAGAGAAACCACTAATCCAATACATAAGCATCCCAGATTATAGAGACAAGGATCCTTGTCCAAGGATGAGAGGAAAAGCAAAAAACAAAACAAAGCCGAACAAAAACAAAAACAGAGGTGCTGTAAACATGTAATGTAATGCAAAAATATAACAAAGCGCTCAAGGTTTTGGAGCAAACGACAAGACACAGAAATAAATATTAGGCAACTTGCTTTGTATGCTTTAAAAATGAAAAAATTGATTCTGAAAGAGATGCAAGGTGAAACAATGTAATATAAAATAAAAAAGAAATGACTGAGACTGGTAGAAATTGAAATGGAGCTGCTCGAATAACGGAAAAATACTGTATAAGGAAATAGAAAATGGAGCAGCAAAACAAGTTATATACTAAAATAATAAAAAGTTGAAAATTTTGAAAATTGTTGAAGAATCAGATCTATTTTTCAAAACTCCCTTGGTAGGTGGAGGGGGGAGAGAGTAAGGAGGAAAAGACGCAATAGGGAATAGGATGTATACGGAAGACTGACAGAAAAGTGCCAATAATCAAACATAAAACAGCAGAAAATCTCTTTCTGCCAAAGACAGACCTAAGTCTACAAAACAAAAGGTGCTGTTTAACAAAGTAGAAATAATTTAAAAAAACAAATACTTAGACCTATTCAGCTTGTTGTTGAGAATTAAATGATAAATAATCATATAAATGTCCAAGTGGGGGTAGGAGTATGGTACAAGAGAGGCTGAAGAAAATAAAGGGAGAGTCATAATTCTTTCTCAATAGCTTTTGCAAATCCACAACCATAAAGTAGCCACATTTCCAGTTAGAAGACAGGACGTTCAAGACATGAAATGGACAAGTCTGGCTATAAGACTCTGCTCTTCTCCCTTCATATTAGCATCTCTTGTAGACAGAGAAAAAGAAGAAACTCTAACATTCTATGGCAATCCATAATAATTTACATATAAGTTAGTTCGGCAGTGCCTTCAGGGATAGTTTCAAGGCCACCTGTTGGCCTGAGAAAGATTATTAAAAATAGGAACATGTTAATCACATGGGGAACAAGGTCATGTAAGTTCATCTATCCAGAACTGTAAAAGACTAATAAAACATTCTATTTAAGTGAACTTCCCAAATAGCAGAGCTTATTCTTTTAAGTGCCAAACTCTAAAATGTCAGTAATTATAATGGAAATGTTTCTGAAATATATGCTTTTCCAACTTCTCAAACAATTCTTTTAAACATAACCTAACATGTTCTTCATTAGCTAGTAGTATTAATTAGAGTATTAGTTTTTACATTGTTATAACACATTGATGCCCTCAAGACTTTTTAACGAGTCCGTCCCTCTGTTAAATTTCTCTCAGCTTCTCTTTCACACTTTAACCTTGCCCATATCATGCTGCTCGTACTTAATGTCTGTAGAACTGAAGGCTGCCAGGAGAAACCTAGATAATGAAATCCATTAAATCAGTAACTTAATTTTACACAATTCTAATTCAGTAGGCTCAAGGTAAAAAGCAGTTGGGTCTGATCTCCTATGAAACAAAATGCATAAGGTTAATGATAGCTGTTTCTTTCTCTTTTTTCACTGGCTTTTAGGTTTACAGCTGTGTTCTGGGTTTTTCAAATACCAAAGAGACAACTGACAATTACTGACCTCCTTCTTCTATATGCCAGGAACTTAATGTAGTGTATCTCACATATACCCTGTAATAATTCTAAGAGAGAGAAAGTATTTATTATATTCCTAGAACTGATGAGAAAACACACCTGAAAATAACCAACCTGCTCATGACCACACAATCAGTAAGCTGTAAAAGCCAGGGCCCTAACGTAAGTCTGGTTCCAAAGCCTTGCTTATTCAACATTTCACACTGACTAGAAAGGTGTTTCTCAAGGTACATTTTAAGAATTACCTATGTTAGAATCATCTTGGATGCCTGTTAAAAATACAGAAATGGCAACCACTCTGTACTTGCTATTTAGGAATTCCACAGGTAGGTTCAGGAAACCAAATTTTTAGCAAGCGCCCCAGGTGATTTTAATACACATTTAATATCCGAAGCACAACTGTCCTAGAATACATAATTATGAAGTCTCGGGAGAGAAGATAAAACATTATCTTTCATTTCCTCCTGCAACCTAGGTCCAACTTCCTCAGCTGGCTTCAGGGGCTCCTCTGCACTGGCCTGTCTCTTGCACTGCCACGCGGGGTTCCGCTCTAAATCCTGGTCCTTTCCCACTCTGCAGTTTTTGCTGGGCAACTGCACCTGACTCCAAAGATTAAATTCCTATCAATATGCTTACAACTCATAACTCACATTTTAGTTCAACTTCAGAACTGTACATCCAAATCTTCATCTGCCCACGACACGTGTTTTATCCCTGAAATACCCTATATTATATGAATATAACATGCCCATAGTGGAAGTCATCTGACCCCTGCTTCCCCAACACTTGTGATCCTTTTCTGTCCTCCTCAGTAAAAGGTACCTCCATTAACTGAGCCCCCAGAACCGAAACCTAACATTCTCTGTAGCTCCCTCTCCTTCATCAGTTGTCCCCATGTTCTCTCCCTGTACCCCGCTACCACCTACCAAAAGCCAGTCAGTCCTACTTTTCTTGCTAATGTGCTTACTTTTTTCTCTTTTTTTAGAAAGATTTTATTTCTTTCTTTTTAGAGAAAGGGGAAGGGAGAGAGAAAAAGAGGGAGAGAAATCTAGATGTGTGGGAGAAACACTGATTGGTTGCCTCTTGCATGCCCCCAACCAGGGATCTGGAACACAACCCAGGCAGGTGCCCTGACCGAGAGTCAAACTGGTGACCTTCCGTTTGCAGGACAATGGCCAAGCCACTGAGCCACACCAGTCAGGACTACTTTTTCTCTTCCTTACAGGCTCTCAGAAAATATGCTTAAAACATCTACTACTTTCCCACCATTTAAAAATACAGTACAAATATAGCAAATAAATAATTCCAAATCATGAAGCATCCCTATAAGCAGTGTGCATTTGTGATCTGAAGATCCCCAGAATCCAAATCTCTTTCCTATTTTAGTTTGGGGACTGTTGGGGGGCACAGCCAACTTCCCACCACAGATGCTAGAGGGAGTAGGTTTTCTCTGATCCAATCAGCCAAGCAAATACTCCACTTAGGACCTGAAACTGAACTGAGTAACAAAAGAATCAGAGGAGAGCTCAGAACCCATTCTTGGGGCACTGGAATTCACTGATTCTTGTCAACGCACAAGGGCAACATCACAGGGCCAGCAGTGTGTCTGCCTGGGGCCATGTACGGGCCTGAGTCCTCATCTGCTTTCTGAGCTTGGTTGGTTAGCCTTCCCATCAGTTCTGTCTGAGAGCTGATATTCTGCCGATAAATCTCCCTGTCTATGTCGTCAAACAAAGTTGGCTTCTGTCGTTTATACTGAAAATGCTAACTTGGTACAAATGGCTAGCAAACAGAAAGATATGCAATGTATTCACAAATTTTCAATGTCTGCTCCTTATATTTAAAGACCTTCTTCTTATTGAATAACCTAATATTATTTTATAAGTATTAGTGCTCATTTAATTAGC